TGTAAATACGGTGGTTGTAGAACGATATGGGTTTCAGTTTTGGCGGAAAAGTCACAAAGAATCAATGCAGTGTGAGCTGGCGCATTCAGTGTTTTCGGTGCCAATCGAAATTTGACGAGTTTGAGGCCCAAAATGGAATTGACAGATCCTTTTGAAATTTCATCATCCTCAGCAAGGTCTCTAATTGTAAATCGGCGGTTTGCAAGCACCAAATCTTTAATTTTTTGTACGTGAGCTTCGTCGGCTGAGGTGGATGGTCGACCAGTGGGCTCTTTGTTTTCAACGCGTTCTCTGTCTTCTTTGAACTGTTTATACCACTTCTAAACATTTCTTTCCTATATAGGAATTCTCACCGAATGCCTTCTGCAACATTCTGTACGTTTCCACAAACAAAATTTAATGCAAGTTCTTTGCTCAATTCATTCTGATATTTCAAAAATCGTCGAAATCAGTTTAATCGTCTCACAAGCGTAACTCAAACACTAATGAATATTTTGACGTCAAATTTCCTACAGATGTCAAGGACAGTGCCAACCTAAAAAAAAAAAAAAAAAAAAAAATTGAAATACCATATGCCCGGGAATTTCAAATTGAAAATGGGTCTTACTTTTTGGTCACAGTAGCACCATTATTGTAGGGATTATCATACTGATTGATTCTAATATGAGATTATAACCATGTACAAATCATAAATTTGTTATTTTCTATCCTCTTAAAATCCAAGTTTTTAAACCTAGACTGATATCAATTGTTTTAGAGCAAGGGCTGGCCAACTTAAACGATCTTGCTGGCCACTTTTGGAAATGCATCCTAACTCCGCTGGACGCATATAAAATTATATATCCCCCCTATTAGATTTAGACCCACTATAGACATTTTTTCGAAGTGAAAAATTGAAACATTATGAGTTATTTTTGTGTTTACTATCATTCTTACAAGTAAACACAGATAATATAATAATAATGATACTAAGCGTACATTGTAAAGAAATATATAATACTAAAAATGAAATATAAAATAATATATAAATATAAACGAAATAAGAAAAATGAAATCATTCAAAAATATTTATTTGACTAGTGTGATATTTGTTTCTCCACTCTTTCACTTAGCTTTTGCAAATCGATCTCAATTTGGGTACTTGCACATCGTAATGGATGTTGCGTCCGTTATTTTTGAGCTTGTTTTTTGTTTGGTAAATTTCATTAAAAAAAAAAAAACATTTTGCAGGTGTAAGTTGAGCCAATAGCGCTACCAACTTCAACTAAGAGTCTGGTTTGCTCTACTATCAGCAATCAACTGCACTTATCTAGGATGGTCACTGCGTCACTGAGGTCACTTAAATGGAAACATCTAATTGTTATATTAGATGTGCCAAGATGCGTCCCGCGAACTTATAACTGTAAACTCATACTAAGACAGGACACTATCTGGCATATATCAGCAAGAATATTATTATAAAATCAAAGTTAATTTTTTTTTCATAATTCCGACAGTTAAGTTTTGAATATATGGATGCACACATAAGGTATTTTTATGATACATTAGTTTTCATTACTTTGGCCATTATAATATAAATATATTTTGTAAAAGTGTGATAATTCTCATGGTTCGAAAAAATGTTCAAGGCGGGCCGCGGGTTGGCCACCCCTGGTTGAAAGGAATAATCCTCAAGTTTCTCAAAAGTTTATGTGAAGGAAGAAATTTGTTTCTAGGTCTCTATTTGTAGAAACTTAAAAATCACTATAAATCTTTTTAAATTGCATGTTATTATTTTATATGTAGTGCATAGTTAAATTTTACGAAAATTATTTTATTAATTTTTTAAAACTTAAATTAAAACTTTATTTCTTTATTTATTTAAACTTGTGGTTCACACCACCAGATGGCGCCGCCGTTGTTTTTGATATGTGATTGGGTTCTTTCATTTTCATTCTTTTTTCACTTATGAATGCTACACCGTAAGAATGTTAAAACGTTATATAAACCAAAAAAAGTATTTTTCATATTCTGAATTTTTTTTATGATAATTTTTCATTAAAATAAGTTTTTTTTTACAGTTTGTCAAACTGTAATTTGAAATTATTTTCAAATGTTTTGTATTCGTAACTAAATTTTTTTTTTTTTTTGTTGACTACTTTCTACTTTTAATCGATATTTTTTTAAAATAAAATTAAAATAAAAAAACCTGATTAAAAAATCTGATAATCGGATTATTCTTTTTAAATCCACTAAAAATGCGGAGTTATACTGTTAGATTTTTTTAAAAAATCATCAAAATAGAAACATAAAAAACTCATTTTAGTAAACTTCATGATTTGATGTTTGGCAACTGCAAATAACAACAGAGCAAAGCTGGACTGTAGGTTGGTCAGGTTTATCAGCTTTATCAGGCTTGACAAAACAAGAATTTGTTCATATTTTGCAAAATGCCTACCCAAAATGAGTAAAGTTTTAAGTCTATACTTTCACTATTTGTATTGCTTTAAAAGAATTATGAAGATTAAAGATTTAAAAAGGAAACCAATAATTTGGATTTGGTTAGTCGCTCTGCGGCCATCTTGTGCACACGTTAGGCTAAACAGACCGGGGCCTATAGTTTAAAGTGGATTCCGAACCACTACAAACATCCATGGCACCGCCGGGACTCGAACCCTGGGATACCAGAGCGCTAGCCACTCAGCCATTCAGGTCCACAATAATTTGGAAGTCTACTTGTTTAATTTGCTGAAATAAAGTTCAAACAAAGAGTTGTGTTCAATATCTAAAGCACTTTTTATAGTTGTGATGTGCCCGACTCGTGTCTCAGTGGCAACGTGCACTGCTGGTGAGCATTAGGGCGGAGGTTCAATGCGCTGTGATGTAGACACTGTTTGAAAGAACGAGGAGACTCGAGGTTGGTTGTGATGTCCAGCATCTTGCCTCGTGAGTCAGACTACTTGGTGGAAGTTTTTCTGGGTTTTCCCCCATGTGATACGCAAATGCAGGATACTATACCTTCTAAATGTCCTCATGGAGATTGCCCTAACTTACTTTCTTCAAAATGAAAACGGATATCAATGTGTTTAGTCTTGTGATTTTCTACAAATGAAATGTGAAAAGTTTCTTTTCTTTTCTTTTTCCACTTGGTAGACAGAAAAATCTAGACCAACTCCAAGAACCCGTATGGTCTCATGGATAGAGGGAAGATGGCCAACGTCTGTTGTAATGGAGCGCCCGTATACAGATGTCTAACTCGGCTCCTTGACGCTGAAGAAGGATGGCAGTGCCTTCCGGGAGGACTTTTAGGGGGAACTACCCCACACCAGGTAGTCTGACTCACAAGGCAAGATATTAAACATCACAAACGACATCGAGTCTCTTCGTTTTTCGAAACAGTGTCTGCAACAAAGCCGCCAGCGGAAAGAACCTCAGCTATACTATGTATGTACTGCTATTATTATTGCATATTGCTGTGCATGTATTTAAAAAAATAAATACATGCATAGCAATTTCAGCTGTACCAAAATTGAAATATTCGGAAAATTAAATTTTTTTTTTGTTGTATTTAATCAATTTCACTCAATTCCGATCACACGTATAATCAGTTATTTTGATTAATCGTGCCTCAATTAAATAGTCTGTTATTAATAATTCTTTTTTGTCTGCTTTTTATTTCTGTATATTGCTGGTGTCTTAATTCCCCATATGTATACCATGAAAAACCTATTAAAGTGTGAAGAAGAAAGTATAATGCATTTTGAGAGGACTTTTATAGAGTAATTGACCCATATTTGCATATCGTATGGGAAGAAACTTGAAAAACTATCAATGTGAAAGGTCTTCACATGCTTTTACAATCGGTATCGAGTTTTCCTGTTTCTGAAGCATTCACTACAAAGGACTGATTCGAACTTAATCGTTCTGCACACAAACTACGCATCTTTTAAGAGACGTCCAAACGAGAGAACAAATCGAATCGAGTCAATTCCGAATCGATATCGTTAAAGAGGGTTTCCGTCTAACCTCGAAAAACAAGCCACGTTATCTCTGGCTGGGGATGACAGCTAGTTGTAAAGGCTCGTTCCCACCGAGACGTGAGGCGTTGAAGCATGAATCACTAGCCTCACCGCTTTCGCCTGAAACCGGTTTGAAATCCACCGCTTCGAGTTGACCCACTTTCAACTCGAAGCGGAACTTCACTAGGCGTAATACTATTTCTGACGTTTCGCTGTGAAGGGGTCGAAAAAATTTTGTTACCTGCCGCGTGAATCTTCAACGCTTCACGCCTCGGTGGGAACGAGCCTTAAGGCTCACCAGCGTCGCACGTTGTCACTGACACACGAGTCGGGCGAAAAGCTTATAGCAGCTGAAAGATTCAATATCCAAAATCTTTCACTCATTTATTACGTTTTAAATCCAAATAGCCTGCTTTGCTGCTTCAGATAATATACATTCCGCTTCCGTAGTAGACAAACTCACACATTTATATTTATTTAAAAGCCTGTCAAGAAATTGGAACTTTATCATTAAAACCCTTCCATCTATTGAGACTCAATCACCCATATTAGCTGCGAAATCTGTATCTGAATAACAAATTAACTTTAAATTTTCAACTCGAGATGAATTTAACATTAAATTTTTAGCGTCATTTACATATCCCAATAATTTTAATAAAATATTAAAATTCTTTATTCCTGGTGATTCTTGAAATTGAGATAAAACGTTTTGTTGTTGTTGTTGTTTCTTATCCCACTTGGCTGGCCAAGCTCTCCACGAGCCCATATGGACTCATGATTGAAGGGGAAGGAAGCAGCTTCTGTTGTGATGGAGCACCCGTAGGTAGAAGCCTGACTTTTGCTCCGTGACGCTCTTACAGTCATAGGAGACCGGGACCTACGGCTTAAAGTGGATTCCGAACCACTACAAACATCCATGGCACCGCCGGGATTCGAACCCGAAACCTGTGGAACCGAGCGCCAGAGCGCTAGACACTCGGCCATTCAGGTCCCAAATTTGCCAACGGCACGCGGTGTTCCCAGGTGGTCACCCACCCAAGTACTGATCGCGCCCAATGATGCTTAACTTCGGTGATCTAACGAGAACCGGTATATTAGATAAAACGTTGACTGCATAACTTAAATCAGGTCTCGTTCTAGCAGACATGCAACCCAAAATATTTCTGTAGGGATATTTATTCATCTAATATTCAAATGACAACCCATTTTTGACAAAACTATTCCCTTGCCAATAGAAATTGATGCATGAGGATATTTAAATTATTAAATATCCTACAAATTTTATTTGTTTACTGTCTGGGATGTGTGAAATATTAACCATTATTATTACAAATTTTGATAACTAACAATTTCTGAATTTTACCTAAAATTTTAATATCAGATTTACTCTGTAATAAAGTAATGACAACATCAATGTCTTTTTGGGATTTATTGAAGAATATAATATCGTCAAATTAAATTAAAAATACACACTTTTATAAGTGCAGAGAGATTATAATTAAATTCTCACTTTCTAAATGCTGTAAAAAAAGAATCACTCGTCACAATGAGTTCAAATTTGAACTGAAATTATTTGAAGAAGGAGAAAACGGTACGGTATCAAAAAAAAATTCCAAAGTTTATTAATAGATGTTACTGTAAGCGGCATAAGGAAAGTGAATTTGGCTGTCAGTGATATTTTAAATCGAAATGACAACATATTTGGCATGAGTTGCACATTAAATCAACTGTAGTGTTCAATGTGCTTGATTGTTTCAGTTGAATTTTTGACTGAAAAAATAACGTCCAAATGACACTGTTAGTGAAAGCCAGTCCATACCAAATTGGATGGGATAAATCGGTGGAACTTTTATGATGCCATACCGTTTCCCTCTTCTGCATGTATCTTCAGTTCAAATTGGAAATCAGTGGGACGAGTGGTTCTTTTATTACAGAATTGTGAAAGTGGAACTTCAATTATAATCACCCTGTATTTTGAATCCAAATATCCTTCTTTGCAGTGTCATATAGGGATATAAATTCCGTTCCCATAATAGACAAACTCACACATTTATATTTAAAAGAAAGTCAAGACATTAAATTTATCATTAAAATCCTTCCTCCTATTGATATTCAATCATCCCTGTTAGCTGCAAAATCGGAATCGGAATAACAAATTAACTTTAAATTTTTAACTCGAGATAAATTTAACATCAAATTTTTAACATCATTTACATATCCCAATAACTTTAATAAAATATTCCAATCTTTTATTCCTAGGGATTCTTGAAATTGAGATAACACGCTGACTGCATAACTTAAATCAGGTCTCTTACCAGGAGACATGCATTGCAAAAGACTTCTGTAGGGATATTTATTCATTTAATATTCAAATGACAATCCAATTTTGTCAAAACAACTCCCTCGGCAATAGGAAGTGATGCATGAGAATATTTAAATTTCGAAATTATCTTTCAACTTTTATTTAGATACTGTCTGTGATGCGTGAAATATTAACCATTATTATTACGAAATTTGATGCTTAATAATTTCTGAAATTTGCGTAAAATTTTGATATCAAATTTACTCATTAATAAAGTAACGGCAACATTAATGTCTCTTTGGGATTTACCGAAGATGGTAATATCATCTATATAAATAAAAATACATACTTTTATTAAGTATAAACTGAAAAATAAATAAATAAATAATATTTTTAAAATACAGGGTGACTATAATTAAAGTCCCACTTTGAAAATTCTGCAAATAAAGAACTCGTGCGTTACAACCAGTTCAAATTTGAACTGAAGATACTTGAAGAAGGGGGAAACGGTATTATTAAACGGGGAACGGTACATCGAATCTATTTCGCCAGGCCTGCGGCAGGCCTTAATTATCGGAAGGTGTAATACACGAGACCAGAAGGGGGCTCACTTTGAAAAACAGGCGGAATTTCCGGCCTATTCAGTCACTTAAAAAAAAAAAAAAAAAAAAACACTTCTGGTTGACTCGTCATAGAATTCTTTCCCTTCTTCACCAAAAACCTCCCTTTAAGAAAAATCTATCAAGAGGGGGAGGGGGTTCAAATTCTCTCACTTGTTATTGGAGTAGACATTTCTCAGCTCGTGGTCTATCACCCATCATAATGGCACAACTCCTTTTGTAATTCAGATTCTATCTGTAATTGTTTCGACCTGAAAAGGTCGCACAGACAATCGCTAATTTCATGAGTCTCATGATACATGATACCGAATATCTGCTATCAGATGGGAGTGACAGGTTGTTCTCTTTAGTACAATAATTACATGTAATATAACTACCCCCAATACAGATTGTCTGTTGTCAATTTTGAGCCATGGGTTCTTATTGTATATTTGTCAAATAACATACATTTCTCTCTACTGGCAATGAAATGCCAAAACTCTTCTAGTGAGAACAAAATGCTATAATACTAATAATTTTCTTGATTTGTGAATAATTTTGAATTATAGTTTAAAATTAATTGATTCTAGAAGTAATATAGATGAAAAATATGTTTTAAATAATAAAACGTAATTAGCTTTTTTTAACCTCACATTTTTAAAGTAAATCTTCAACGCTCAAGTATAATCAAATACAATTTGCTGAAAATGCCTTCTTCTTAAAAAGCATTTTTAACAGACATTCTTTGTATGAAGAGTATTTAATATTCAAGGAAATATTTAAAATTTATTGCATTTTGTGCAATAGGTACGTAGGGGTAGAAGCAAATTATTCTCAAAATATATTTTGACATATCAATAGCATAATAAGGCAGACGAAAGTTACGGTTTGTTCAAATATATTTGCTGAAGATCCACCACGCAATTCAAATGATTCGCTTTCAATAATTTAAATTCAGTTAAAGAGATTATTATTATATTATTAAAGCGAGTCACATTATATATAATTTGAATAAATATTTTACATAGTAAGAGGAATATTTTTTATTTGGAATCAATGAAAGTTTGTTAAAAGATATCGAATTTTCTATTCATTTATTATGTACAAAATGAAGCATTAATAAAAGCTGAGAAAAAAAACTCATTTAATTTTAGAAGTTTTAAATAGTGTTTTTCTACTTCATTGACGTAACAGCCCGATGTTGGGCTAGCCCCATTTTGGTACCACAACCCAACCCTACTGAACGGATATTTGAACGTATTTTACATTAAAATTTATGGTTTTTTTAAATCACACATATATTTTAATGTATTTTACATAGAAGCATGGGGACCTGAATAGTCGAGCTGTTAGTGCTCTGGCGCTCGGTATTGCATGTTTGGTGTTCGAGTTTCGGTGGTGTTGTGGATGTTTGCAGTGGTTCGTTATTCACTTTAAGCCGTATGTCGCGGTCTAACAGGATCGTAAAGCGTTGCGGAGATAATGTTAATCCGCGTCCGTAGCTTATCTTTATGCTACACGCACCTCCTGGGTAATGCTAAGTGAGTAACATCTCAGGCGCTCTTGACTTAAGGCATCGAAAACAACCGTCGAAGTGTTCGCCAGCTGCTTAAAACCCCCACTTTAAAACATGTTTTTTTTTTTAAAGTTCAAACCAAGCCTAAATTTTTCTTTACATTAAAATATATATAAGCAAGTAAAGGAAATGGCGTGAAATAATTAGGTTTTCAATGTGGTGAACTATTTCTGCTCACTGGTAAACTAGCCTACTCTACCTTTCTTCTTTACCGAATGTTTCATGATGATACGAGTATCGTAATGTAAGCCTTACGAATCTTTTTTCTGAACGATAGCACTTAATAAAAAATAATAACGGCGCGTGGAACAGTTTCGGAAATCTCGGAAAAACTTCTCCGATTCTTGAGCCACGTTTCTCCGATGTCGCTGTAATCGTCGTTCTTTTATGAATGACATTCTGTCTGTTATCAGGATGAAGGAAGACTGGAGGGCGGAATGAAAAAAAGAACCACCCTCTTTGCCGTTGCAGTGGTTTGTGCCATTCCTGGCCAGGAATCAAAATCGGCGTATGCTAAACTGCACGATGCCTTCGCTAGACCGTGCCAATTTTTTTCTCTTAATAGTTGAAAAAAATAGTTTTCGTTTCCTTTACTACTACTGACTCAGTTTAAAAAGTATTCTTGAAGTTCGCATTGGAAGTAGGAATACAATTTTCTTTCCCTAAAAAAAAAAAAAAAAAAAACTCAACTCCGATAGATGTTCTTTATTTTGTGTTGGTGTAGCTGAGAAAGGGTGGAACTGGGTCATTTGCCGCTCTTTGGATTCGTAATATTCTTTTCTTTCATTGGTTTTGGGTTGAAGATGAGTTTTATTAAGACTGTTATTTACGGTGGTGGGTGTCATTCAGTATCTGACATTCTTTTTTTTTTTTTTTTTTTTTTAAATTCGCTAAGGAGATATAATTCATTCAACAAACGACAAAAAGCGGTTACTTGACCATTTGGATGGATTTTTTTGTTCTCCTAATCATTGTGAATGAAGTTTTCAGAAGAGTGAAAAAAAAAGTGTGTATCTGTTTTTTTTTTTTTTTTTTTTTTTTTTTTAAGTTGAAACAAACAATATTTTTAATTTCTTTTTGTTCTAATGCAGCTGGCAATCGCTTAGATAGTTGTCTTTGATTCCTTAAGGCTAGCCCTGCACCAACGTTACTCACTTAGCACAAACTAAGGGGTGCGTGTAGCTTGAAGATAAGCTACGCCTGCTGAGTAACATTATCCCGCAATTCTCTAGATCCTATTAGACCGGAACCTACGGTTTAAAGTGGATTCCGAACCACATGGCAACATCCATGGTATATAACATATATAACATCCATTTATATAACATCCATATGTATAACATTCATGGTACCGCCGGGACTCGAACCCGAAACCTGTGGTATCGAATGTATTTTACATTAAATATATGTTTATTTTTGAATTTCAAACCAAACATATGTTTTAATGTATTTTACATTAAAATATATGTAAGCAAGTAATGTAGACAGTTTGAAATAGTTAGTTTTTACAATCTGGTAAACTATTTCTGCATACTGGTGAACTACACTATTCTTATTGTTTTTAACCAAAGGTTTCATGGTAATGAGTATCGTCATGTAAGCCTTACGAAACTTTTTTCTC